AAGAAAGAGGTTTTTTTTCAAAGCGATCATTGATAATAATGTGAAAGAATGATTTGGATCACTGCATATTTGCTCTTATTAATAAGATAAAGCCTCAGAAGTGCTCAGAGGATTTAGCAGTCTGAACCTTCCTGAAAGTCATGGTAGCTGTGTACTACTTTGCCCAAGTAGTCTGAAAATACCGTGTATCCTCTGAATTCTGACCATCCTCCTTTTCCTTGACATTAAATGGGTTGAAGCAGCAGTTACACAGGGGGCCAGATTTTTAAAAGTGCTCTATATCTAAAAGTTTCATTGTGGTGTTTGTGGCCAGATTTTCACAGGAGCTTACCAATCAACATACAGCCAGAAGGTGAGCTCTTTCTGAACTCTGGTTTTCAAATGTGGTCACTGAGCTATTTTTGAAAGCCTGGCTGGCTGCAGAAAACACTCTAGCTCTCAGCTGCTTCCCTGCCTGGTATATCGTTAGCCATGTGACAAAATATAATCAAGTGCAATATTCATCTCCCACAAATAAATAAGTACTATGAGCAAATAATAATCAAATCCGTAAGAAACAACACTACCAACAAAAATACAAATTAAAGAAAACAGGCATAATCATTGTAAACTCTAGAGTCCTCTACAATAAACAGCAGAGCTCTCAGTTCTGCAAAGTGTATGACTGCATAATCAATTCCATTCCTGTTCAGGAAATCTTGTTAAGAGAATGTCTTCAACTCATTAATTCCATTGGAATTTATGTTTCAGTAGTTTGAAGGAAAATAAATCAAATACAAGAAAAGAGCTTGAAGTAGGCAGACAAGGAGAGAAAGTAGGAAAAAACACAGCAAGGAAGAAATACAAAACTATGCAAACGTCAATAAATCTAAAAATACAACAACAGCAACAAAAAAACACTTGAGCCACTGGACCTACGTTGGTCAGTGCACCTAACAAAATTGCATAAGCAGCATTTAATGAAAATACATAAAAATATTCTATTTGAAAGCTCACTTGTTAAAGGCATGAAAAGAAAAAAATTCAAACCTACAACTTCTTTACTTTGCCAATGTAGTTCAATCAATGCAGCCTTGAACGGTAAAAAGAGAGCATGATATGTTTTATAAGATAGTTTTTGAAATGTATCATTAGAATGGAACTATAATAACTGATGTTTTCAGAGTGGTCCTTCATAACAATTTCCTATTTCTTTACCAGTTTTTTGGTTTTGTTTTTTTTTTAATATGTTTTTTTTTACATCCTTGGCAAATAAGTGATAGAGGATTTCAGATTTCAGTTGTACTTCACAGCATTATGAAGGATGGAAAAAAGGAACAAGTTCATTCTAAAGCAAATTGAGGAGTGAATACACAAACCAAGGATGTTAAGAATGATGCTACATTTTGAAACTGAAACAGAAGAGATGATACATTCAATCCCTTTCCCCCAGGATAGGCTTTAATGAAAGCATGGAAGAGAATGAGAAAAATTAAATTACCATCCAGGATCTTTGGTTAAGTTTGAAGGTGATGAGTGTGACCCAAGAAAAGTATTTGCAAAGCTCCCTTATGGAAATGCCCACTGATCACCACCAGCAGAACACAAATATAATTTTGATTAATAAATCCAGACATCAATTTAAAACTTCTAGCTGAGTCACAACACTTATGATATGACTTTTTACATATGATGAATGCTCCCATTCTGTGACTGAATCACAGAATGGAAAAACTGGATAAAAGATTACTTAAATTCCTGTCTTCAATTGTGTTTGATTATAACTTTTAAGAACTACAGCCAACTTTTTCTGCTAATTATTACTATTCTTTTAATCAAGTTTAAGCAAAGCACTGTTTCAATAGATCAAAGCTCAACATTCGGCAATGTTTCAGGGTACATGAAGTTTCATTCCTAACTGTGCTATAGATTCCAAATGGGATTTGGCAAACCACTTAATCCCACCTGAATTCTCATCTGTAAAAACTCCAAAATGCATGGTAAGGACTTCAGTGTATTATCAGGAGTTCTGTGTATATTCATAGTGCCTCTCTACAAGGCTGATCTTATACTAGGGGCTTTTGGTTTTGGGCTCAACTCAACCATAAGCCATGACTTTTATCTTTTTTCTAATTCCTTAAAAAAAAAAAAAAAAAAAAAAAAAAAAAAAAAAAAAAA